TTTTTTTGTTTTGACGTCAGCAGCCACCGAAGTACTTGAAGATGCAGACCATCGCCAATACCAGGTATGAGGGATACCAGGTATGATCCCTCGCATCATCATCCTCATCTCTCCCTGTCTCTCCCTGTCCTTGTCTTCCTCCCATGTCTTCTCCCTCATGCACGAAGACCACCACCGCCTCCACTGGCTGTCCAAGCCAAGCCCTGGCTATGTAGGGCTGGCTATGGCGCTGCCGAGGGCAGCGCCCTGCCTTCTTCCAGCGCCCGCGTGCACTGCCTGGCAGCTAGCGCTAGCGCACAGCGCACAGCCTGTGAGTGCACGCTCAAGCAGCGCTGCCGGATGCACTGCCTAGTGCCCAGATGAGCCCACCAGTGGCGAGCTCTTTCCTTTATGGAAAGTGCTCGCCCAGTTTGCTGTCTCGCTGGGCCTCGTGTGTTTCCAGTAGCATCTGTGCCAAAGTGTGCGCCCAGGCCCATTCAGACCGTGGCCTGGGACCGATTTGGTTAGTCATGCCCAACCACCCAGGAGTAAACGCGAGGTTCTCCCTTTTTCGCCTGTGCTGCTGGAAGAGCCTAGAGGGCTCAAGAATTATTTCTGATTCTCACGAGTGTGGAGGATGTGACCAACTGGCGCATGGCAACTGTCTGGCGCCCACCAAACTTTTAGCCAAAATTGGCGAACTCAGGCCATATTGAAATTCAGGGGCCTGCCTTCACTTAGGGCGGGCTCATGCTCTCTGAAAGGGCCCTCCAGGGGCATGTAGAGGAGCAAACTCGTAGCAAGGCCTCTTCGAAGATCCATGCCCACATAAGGGTTCCAACAGGCTCTGCTTGGGCCCCTCAACCTGGTCTCATTGGCCTCTAAACAAGCATTGGCACATATTTGCAGGCCCACCTTCACTTAGGGCAGTCACGGCACTTTCAGACACTGCCGAGCAACTAAATCCTCGCAGTAGGGAGCTACTGGATATATTTCACCCCCGTTTCTTCTGTGTCGTTTTTAGTTTTATTTTTGTTTGTTTGTCAGAATGACATGAAATTTGGCAGGCACAGACTTTATGAGCAGCGGAATCACCCAGAAAAAAAAAAAAAAAAAAAAATCCTTAAGCCTACAAATTGACTTCAGCAGGCCACTAACCCGTGAACGTCTGGGGCTCCCAGATGGCCGTATGGGCTGCTAACCAGCAAACATCTGGGGCTCCCGAATGGCGGGAATGCTCTGAATGTGGGGGGAGGAACGGGGGTAGACCCCGCCAAATCTTCGGTCCGGTAACACTGTATGCTTTGATTGTGAATCATTGTGTTTGCTGTGTATGTCATTTCTTGAAAAATGGATTCACTGTCTGTGTGTTAGAGTGATACGAACAGGGAAACTGACCCGCTATGTCGTGCGGGCAAAGCCGCACTGGCCCTTCTTGTAATATATTGAAACTGCAGTTCTTTTTCATCTGATATTTTGATGCAGTCCGCTCGTGAAGATGGTGTATGGTCAGATGAGGAATGTGAGCTGTTGGAACTGCATGCTTGTGGCAGCAAGGTGAGTTTCATAAACGCCTGTAGGTTGATGGATTAGCTATCTGTGATCCATTCTGCTGTTTTTTGTTTTGCTCCGGGTTGTGTGCAATATCCGAAGGGATTTGGTGCATGAATGGTCTCATCGCAATCTTTTATCTCAGGCCACAGGCAGTCTGATTACTTTACCAAGTCAAGCAAGATATGCTATTAGGTTTATATAAGCTGACACTTGAGGAGTTGTCAAGCTGGCAAAGCAATCTTTGGCAGCTTAGATCTCATGGAAGCTTGCTGCCCAATTGCAAATGTGTGCTGGTGACAAACGGCCGGCATACCACTGCATTGCCTCCTTCCCTTTCTCTCTCGAACGCTGTCCCTCTCATTGGTCTGTTTCACCCTACCTCGTTGTTTTGTCATGTAGCTATATTGGGTTCCACTTTGTCTTCCTCTTTCCCCCAGGCTTTTCCTAAGCTCCTTTTCAGTGCTAGCTCTACCATGACAACCTTGATTGCAAGCTGTTGTGTGCAATTTGCATCTCGTGCCCTCTGTTTAGGTTTTTGTCTCCCCACGTTGTTGTTGATGTGCAGACTCTCTCAACAGAAAAAGAGATGAGTGGAATTCGGTGGAAGGAAATATCAATGGGAGGGAGCGAGCAAGACCAAAAACCGCGCTTGCTCTCCCATGACAATCTTGATTGCATGCTGATTGGCTTCTGATGTTGTAGCTACATGACCTGTACAATTTGCATCTTCTCCCTCTGTTTTCTGTTTACTGCCCTCTGTGCTGCCAGTCGATTGTTGATGTGCAGATTAGACATGTGGAAGGAAAAGGTCGATGGCAAGGAGCAAGTAGACAAGAAACAGTGTTTACTCTTCCATGACAATAATAATTGCAAGGTGATCTGTTGCTTATGATGTTTGGTTAAAAAATGACCAATACAACTGGTCTCTTTCTCCATTTCCATTTTCTGTTTATTGCCCTCTGTTATGTTTACTTCTGCATCCCCAGTTTTATTGTTGATGTGCAGATTACCTCAACAGGCCAACTTCCCTCAGTCAAAAGCTGATGTAACAATGTTGTCCAACAGGTGGAGCTGCGGCAGCGCGAGTTCGACATGTCCATTGGCATAGGGTTGCATTCTCTGCAATTTCATGATAAACTGTTCGGACCGAGCAAAGTCCTTGCCAGTTCGGTAATAGCTGAACCACTGTCAGAGGAGGATGTTACAGGTGGAGTGAACTCAGCGGTGGCAATGAGTTGTGTGGAGAATATGCAAAAGGGCCTTGTCACAAGTTGCTCATCTGATCCGTCTGCTGTACCCAGATCAGCGGATCCTGAATCAAGGACAGACGAAAGGGTAGATGAGGTGCACCATGTAGCCAAGGAAAGTGGGCAAGGTGGCGGTGAACCAGGTGGAGGGGACAGTCAGGAAAATTCAGATGATGATGACAACTTCGTGGATGCTACTGGTGAATTTGAATCATTGCCATCCTCCCCAACTCAAACAAGATTCTCTGATAAGGAATCGATCGACCAACAGATCCTGGGACAGTTTGGACTTCCAGGCAAGCTCACAAGTGAAAGGGCAGCTGATCTGGGACAGTTTGGACTTCCAGGCAAGCTCACAAGTGAAAGGGCAGCTGATCTTAGCCCACCGTCATTTTCAAAGGCACCGGGCCTGCTTGATTCACCTGAAGAAAAATCTCGTGCAGTCGACTTTGTGAAGATGGTCATTTTCATGTGCCAAACTGATTCACCCGATTACGATGACACAGATATGGAGGTATGTGTATTCCAATGATCATTCTCTCGTGCTTGTTTTCCCTGTTTGTGATATCTTGCTAAGAATGCTCAACTAGGTCTTCCATGTCATCAATCCGCGCCATCCGAGCAGTGCATGTAGTCTCTGTCATCGAGGACCGACTCCTGAGACTTCTCTTATCCTTCCCTATGCTTTGATCTTCATTCGACACTCCTTACTACCATCTGTCTTCATTTGGATGTCTTCTTTCCATATTTTCTCTCTGTTTACCCCCTCTCCCATTTCACAGTGTACAAGTGGGTGGTGATGGCACACGGGGATGGGGGCAGCTCGTGCTCAACTTCATCAACGTGGGGAGCCTTGTACGTGAGAGACACAGTAACAGGGGAGCTAAAAGAAGTGAAAAAGGGCACTGTACTTTGTCACCGCAGACAAAAAGCCGAAGTAAGTAAAGAAAAGAAAGAACTGCGCAGAAAGCGGCAAGAAAATGGTTTCAGACTTTCAGTGAGTTTCATGTTTTTTTTTTTTTTTTCATTTGCTTCACAAAGTGGGCTGTTTTGGTCGATAGATATGTGACAAATTGACAATATAATAATATACATGACAAATTGACAATATAATAATATATACACATTCTATCTCCCAGTTCAAGCTTCAAGCACTTGGCAGCAGGCTTACCTGGGAACCCACTGCACATGAAGACCACAACGTTCTTGACCCGACTGCCCTGCGGTTCCCCAACCAGCCCTGGAGACTGATCTGGCCAGTACCTCACAGAACTGACAGTGTGCTGGCCTTGTGGATGCCAAACCCACCACAAGTGCTTCTTAGAGGTCCATTTCTGGTTGCGAATTGCAGTGTCGAAAGTTAAATTAGGTGGTGGCGTTGGCGGAGGTGTTAGGGATTTTCAGGGGTTGGAGTTGTTGGGTGCCTGGCACAGCATGCAGAGATTGACAACTTTTTTTAAGTTTTTTTTTCCCGCCCAAAAAGGCTGTTATATATATATTTTTCTTTTTTTCTTTTCAACATCCAACGGAGGTCTATTATCGGTGGTGATAAGAGCAGCCCCCAACGGAGTCCTTAAGTAAGGACTGCTCCAGTCTTATTGGTGGGGGGCAGCACCTGCTGGAAACCGGGTCCAGCGTCCCATTTTGCATAGAGAGGAAGGTTTTGTAACCATGAATGTCTTGGGAAGCAGTTACTACCTCCTCCTGAGGGGATTTACTGCCCTTCTTCGGATTGTTCTCTGCAACTCGAGAACATGAAGTTGGAATTGCTAGTAATCGCGGATCAGCATGCCGTAGTGCATATGTACTCGGGCCTTGTACACGCCACCTATCACACCATGGGAATTTCTTTTGCCCAAAATCGTCTCTATGATAAACTGATTACTTTGATAGATTACACACGGCAAGGTAGTTGATGGAACCAGGACAAATGGGGATGGTGAAGGGATGAAATCACATTTGCTTTTCCACTCATCGACTGGTATGGAATCCTGCAGCCTTTTAAGGATACCTGAAACGTGTAGTGCGGGAGGAGGAGCATGACAACCGGCCGGACGTCTGGACCGGAATCCAGACGGTCCGGTTCTGGGTATGGGTCCGGTGTCTGGTTCGGTAGGTCGGAAGGAGGAGCATGGCAACCGGGCGGACGTCTGGACCGGAATCCAGACGGTCCCGTTGTCTGGGTATGGGTCCGGTGTCTGGTCCGGTAGGTCTGGACTGGGCCCAATTTTGAAAATTTCGAAATTGTTTTTGGGGTGGCCCAGGACGTTTTTCGGGTCCTAGGCCGCCCCCACAAAATGCCCCCGGTAATTTTTGGCCTTTGCAGGGCCTACCAGACTCCAACAGACGCCTCCAACAGCTCCCTCTGCTGTTTTACTACTCTGGTAGTTCATTGGATGAGGATGAGTCTGATTCCGAAAATGAAGCAGTGGTTGCAAAGCCCCACAGAACATCAAGCTCGAGAGAGAGAGAGAGAGAGAGAGAGAGAGAGAGAGAGAGAGATGATTTTGATCAGATCTGAGATCCCGTCTTAGATCTGGTCCTGACCAGATCTCAGATCTGCTCTTAGTAACTTCTTATGCAAACAGTTTAAATTTTCAATTTTCATATGAATATGAATTAGTAAGAAGTCTACCTTCATAGCTCCAAGTTCTGTTTCTTTCTGATTTTCGTACTCTTTTCTGAAGTGTCTTGGGATTGGTCTGTTGAGAACTGGTTTCAAACTTTCTAGTGAGCCTTTGTGAATGTCTATGACAGTATTGACCATACTTGCGGCGCATCTCATGCGCGGGGGCGCGGCACATGCGGCGCAAAGCGCGCGCGCATGAGATGCGCCGCACGTGATGCGGCGCATCAAAAAAAAAAAAATAATAATAAATTGAAAGTTCAGAGTCGGGTGGCCAAGCACTCCCCTCACTTCTAAAAATTAGAAAGCAAGAGGGAGAAAAGTTCGGGCCATGGGATACCCCGAAACTGTTGGCACTCGTCTATACATGCGAGTATTCATGTCCTAATTGTGTCCAGCCTCTTTTTCGAAGGGCCCTTATAGCGAACTAGCTAGGACCCTACGTGCAGCTGAGGCGAACTCCAAACTTCCAGTCACCAGCGTGAGCAGAGAATATATACTCTGGATTCGAATTCAGGGATGTGCATCTCGGATTCTTGGTTATGGGTCACTATTTCTTTTGTTTTCAAGTTTTCGTTTTCTCCGGAATACGTGCAGTGGCCCTAAGGGCCGTTACTCACCACATACACAAAAGACAAAACATATGGTAGTGTATTATTCCACGTTCTGCGGTAGATTCTTTCTAATTTTGCAAATTTGCTCACTATTTCTTTTCTTTTGTAGTTTTCGTTTTCTTAGGAATACGTGCAGTGGCCCTAAGGGCCGTTACTCACCA